TTTTTGCTTCTAGCTAAGATAGAATAACAAGGACAGCATTTATCTTCTTGCCTTGAAATAGCTGAAAATGGATACAATATATGTAACAGTGGTTTTCAAGTTATTGGGCATTAGGCAAAGAAGAGTACTTATCACAGGAAAATTAATGTGGAGAGCCCTACAATTTCCTTACATTGCTGCCTGGCCATGGCAAGAGGAAAAACTGAAAGGAAACGGAGGCTGAGCCAGTGGTTTGCTGGGTTGAGGAGACAGAGCTGGGAGTCCAGAGATGCAAGGTGGCTAGAGCCCGTACGGAAAAATACCAGGGAAGAGAGCTGCAGAGGGAGCTCCGGATAACTGCACAGTACCCTCTCATGTTACGTGTAGCTGAGTATTGATGAGCACATGCTCGTGAGGAAATGACCCAGGGCTGCAGGTAGGACCACTTAAAAGGATTAGAAGCAACAATTGCTGAAACTCACACAGGGCCAGGAAGAATTTCTAATCACACAAGTCGGAGTGGAAAACCTCGGCTCTCATAGAGCAGCAGGTAGAGTACTCAGAAGGGTTTGCCTGCCTAGCCCCAGACTGAGTTTCATTACTCTGACCCCGCCTAATATTAAAAAGAGATTAAATTAATTGTTTGCAACAAAAGTAATATATTTCAGTGTTTATAACATGTAGAAGTGAATTGTATGACAATAGCATAAAGGCTGGAAGAGCAGAAATTGACATGTATTTGTGCTGGACAGAATAATGTTTCCGTCTTTTCCCAAAAGATATCGAGTCCTAATCCCTGGAACCTGTAAATGTTACTTTATAAGGAAAATGGTTTCATGGTGTGATTAAATTCAGGATCTTGAGATGAGGGGCTGTCTTGCATGATTTGGGTAGGTACTAAATGCAATCATGTGTGTGCAAAGGAGGCAGAGGGAGATTTTACATACACAGAGAAGGCCATGTGAAGATAGGACAGACAGATTTGAAGGTGCTGGCCTTGAAAATTGGAGTGATGAAGCTATAAGCCAAGGAATGCAGTAGCCACCAAAGCTGGAAGAGGTAGGAGCAATTCTCCTTTAGAGCCTATTCCAGAGGGAATGTGGTGCTGCCAGTTCCTTAATTTCAGCTCAGTGATACTAATTTTGGACTCTGGTCTCTGAAACTGTGAAAGAATAAAATTTTTTTTGTTTGTTTTAAGCCACACAGTTTGTGGTAATTTGTTACAGCAGCTGCAGGAAACTAATTTATGCTGCATGTGAAATGGCATAATATCATTAAGATAGATTGTGATAAAGGTACATAGTATAAACAATTAAGCAACAACTAAAAGCACAACAAGGAGTTATAGCTAATGAACCAAAAAAGGAGATTAGAATCATAAAAATAGTGAATCCCAAAGAAGCCAGAAATAGGGGAAGAGGCAAATAAAGGAAAGAAAGAGCTTGATGGTAGATTTAAACCTAGTTATGTCAAAAAGGACATTAAATGTAAAAGATATTTTTCGGATTGAGTGGAAAAGTAAGACCCAGTATATGCTGCTGCCTGCAAGAAACATATTCTAAATGTAAAGGCAAAAATAGCCTACAAGTAACAGAACAGAAAGAAGTTCACTGTGCTTACAAGAATTAGATGCAAGCTAGACTGGTTCTGTTAATATCAGACAAAGTGGATTTCAGAGCAAAGGCTATTGCCTAGGATGAGATGGTTGTTTCGTAATAAGGAAGGGGATTCGTTCATCAGCCCTGCATATAACAAGCTGAAATGTTTATGCACCTGACTACGGAGCTAAAATACACGAAGCAAAGCCTAACAACTACGAGTAGACACAGACAAATCCACAGTGATAGAGATTTCAGTAGCTTCTCTCAATGATTTGTAGAACATGTAGCCATGATATCTGGATCTAGAACACTTGAACAACACCGTCCCTATGCAACCTGATTGGCATTTACAGGACACTCCCCCCGGCACCAGCAGAAGAGACACTCTCTCAAGTGCTCACAGAATGTCTGCCAAGATAGAGCAGATGCTGGGCCATAAAACAAGTCTCTAAATTAAATGCATTCAAATTATTCGAGTATGTTTTCCGACCTCAGTATCATTAAGTTGGAATATATTATAGGAAGATAACCTGGAAAAGCCTCAGATATGTGGAAAAACTCATTTCTAAGTGGCCCATGGGTCAGAAGTGAAGTCAAAAGGGAAAGCTGAAAGTCTTTTGGATTGACTGATATGAAAACAATAGATTTCTATACTTGTGGGGTGCTGTTATAGTATAGTAAAGGGAAATTTCTAGCGTTAAATGCCTGTTTTAGTAAAGAAAGATTTCAAATCAATGACCTCAGCTTCTGCCTTGGGAAACTTGAAAATGACAAGCAAATGGAATCCAGAGTTACCAGAAGGGCCAGGTACAGTGGCTCATGCCTGCAATTCTGCCACTTTGGGAGGCCAAGGCAGGCGGATTGTTTGAGACTGGCAGTTCAAGACCAGCCTGGGCAGCATAGGGAGACTCCATATCTACAAAAAACACAGAAAATTAGCCAGGTGTGGTGGCATGTGCCTGTAGTCCCAGCTAACCAGGAGTCTAAGGTGGGAGGATTGCTTGAGCCTGGGAGGTTGAGGCTGCAGTGAACTGTGATTGTGCCACTGCGCTCCACCCTGGGCAACAGAATGAGACCCTGTCTCAAAAACAAAAACAGTTACTAGAAGAATGGACATCATAGAGATAAGAGCAGAAGTCAGTAAAATAGGAAACAAAAATACATAGAAAATCAATAAAACCAAAAGCTAGTTCATCAAGAACATCAATAAATTGGTGAGACTAATAGGAAAAAAAGTGAAGTCACAAATTATCAATATCAGGAATGAGGGAGATGACAGTAGTATAGATTATATAGATATTAAAAGGACTATATGAGGCAGGTGTGGTGGCTCACGCCTGTAATCCCAGCACTTTGGGAGGCCGAGGTGGACAGATCACCTGAGGTCAGAAGTTTAAGACCAGCCTGCCCAATATGGTAAAACTCTGTCTCTACTAAGAATACAAAAATTAGCTGGTCGTGGTGCCGTGCGCCTGTAGTCCCAGCTACTCGGGAGGCTGAGGCAGGAGAATTGCTTGAACCTGAGAGGCAGAGGTTGCAGTGAGCTGAGATGGCACCATTGCGCTCCAGCCTGGGTGACAGAGTGAGACTCCGTCTCAAAAAATAATAATAATTAAAAGGACTATATGGGAATATTATGAACAACTTTATGCCAATAAATTTGATAACTTATAGATGAAATGGATAAGTTCCTTGAAAGACACACAAACTATTAAAGCTCTCTCAAGAAGAAATAGATAAACTGATTGGCCCTATATCTATTTTATTAAATTTAAATGTAAAAATCAATGTTTAGTTACTGGAAAACTTTTAAGTGTGGTTGGGAATAGTATATGAACTTTTTCTACTGAATTTTATGAAGGCTAATCACAGGTAAAGGTTTTCTGATGAAAATTTAGTGTCTGAATTGAGATGTGCTGTAAAAAATGTTGTTATGTATCTTAATCATTTCTTCACATTAATTACATGTTGAAATAATACTTTGGGTGTATTGGGTTAAACGAAATATTTTGAAAATCTTGCCTATTTTCTTTTTACTTTTGATATGTCAGCTGGGAAATGTAAAAGTGTGGCTTACATTCTGTTTCTGTTGACAGTACTGCTTTGGAGCTCAGTGTTGGAATGATCTATCATTTCAAAGACCTTTCCTCCGTTCATCATTCAAGGCTGTATTCCACATAGATATCTAAGTCTGAAATACTGCTAAATGGCACGTTTTGTTTTGTGCTTTTTTTTTTTTTTTTTTTTTTTTTTTTGAGACGGGCGGATCACGAGGTCAGGAGATCGAGACCATCCTGGCTAACACAGTGAAACCCCGTCTCTACTAAAAAATACAAAAAACTAGCCGGGTGAGGTGGCGGGCGCCTGTAGTCCCAGCTACTCGGGAGGCTGAGGCAGGAGAATGTTTTGTGCTTTTGTAAGTTTGTTGATTGTTACTGATGTGGACCTTTGTTGCCTCTTAGGCTCATGGCTATCTTCCAACCATTGTTTGCAATTTTTACCTAAAGAGAAAAAGAGATTTGGTTTCAGAGTAAGTTAGATTGAGATCATGAAAGAGCAATCTCATTTTGATGCTTCAAAAATAGCACATCCCCTGTATTACTGGGATTTGCTATTCTTGGACTTACTTCAAGTACATCCTTGTGTTACTGGTTTGGATGCTTCCGAATGCTGTGAAGTCAGTTTCATGGACGTGGCTCATCAGTTTAGCTCTCTTGGCTTTGTTTAGACAGTTGGAGCATGATGGCCTGAACAGCTTCTCTCAATTAAACATTTACAAATCGTTTACGAATAGTAAACAAACTCCAGGTTTTGTGACTCTTTGATAGTTCATCCAGCACAACAAAAACACAATGTGACCATGATCATCTGGCAACTTAGGGTGAAATACGGTTACACTTTGGCCCAGACCGAAAGCAAAATTAAAAAGGGGCAAGAGAGATATACTGCTGAACTGATTTTTCAAGGTTCCAAGAATATCGCAGGTTAAGAGTAAAAGTAAACTTTTGACAGAGAGCAGCGGGTTTTCTGGGATTGAAGTATCTGAAGTTTTCAAACGAAAATTTAAAAAGAAAAAACGAGAATTGCCTTACAAGTACAATATCTTCTTTTTTAAAAAGTAAACTTTACTTTGGAATAGTTTTAGATTTATAGAAAAAAATTAGGGTAGAGAGTTTTCATATACCCTACATCCAGTTACCCTAGTTATTATCTTAATTTAGTATGAGACATTTTCATGTTTAATGAATCAGTATCGATATGCTGTTAACTAAAGTGCAGACTTTATTCAGATTTTCTTAATTTCTATGTAATGTCCCTTTTCTGTTCCAGAATTCCGTGCAGGACACTGGATACCTCATTACATTTCATTGTCATGTCACCTTAGGCTCCTCTTGACGGTTTCTCTTCTTTTTCGCTTAGAAATTCTCCAGAATTTCAGAAACTTCTGGGCATCGCTATGGAACTTTTTCTGCTGTGCAGTGATGACGCAGAGTCGGATGTCAGAATGGTGGCTGATGAATGCCTCAACAAAGTTATCAAAGTAAGAACCGCGTGGATGGTGTTCCCAGAAATATCATTGTTGTAGGCTAAGAGAAGAAGCCATCGTTGAGTGTTCTTCTGTTTTGAGCCCCTGAGGATGTCTGCACTTTTTTCCTTTCTGGTGTGTGGTTTGGAGGTGCTCTGGTATCTGCCTGCATTGCTTGCCACACCTGCCTGGTCAGAAGGAACTGTGTTGACCCTTGTGCCTGCATGGTGCCTAGGTCAATGAAGGGAACCGATGGTGGCCACTGGATGCTCCTGGGAAAATGTCACTACAGGTACCAGAGAAGCCAGAGCTATGTCCACATTTCTATGAGTCTCAGTTTTCTTAACTATAAAATGGGATCAAAGTTTTTGTGGCATGTGTATGAGTGTGTGTCTGTGTGAGGATTAAATGCACTAATTGCCACTACCGGATCCTCAAAGTGGTAAGAAGTATTCTTATTAATCATGACATCCTTACACTCTTATGCAGCAAGATTGATGGGTGTGGCACTGCTTCTCTTTTTCCATTACATGGATTCCATGCTATCCTTTTGCTCAGGGAATCTTTCCTTTGTGGCTAGCACTTTGTTGTTTGGCTAATCACGCTTTCTGTGGTCAGGACGCTGGCTTCTCTGGAGTCTTGGGATTCTAGCTCCCTCTCTTGTCCCTAGAGTGGTCACTGTCTTCTCTCTCTGCTTGCAATTCCTGCTTTTCTTGCATCTCACTCATGCGGTGACCCGTATCAGTTTCACCTTGTTCTCCGTGCCTGCTGGTCGTTGGCACCACTTGCCTGTGGATGGCATCCCATAGCATATTTAGGGCCTGCTTCCAGTTAAGCTTGCTTTTCCACAGGCCTAAATATCCTTGCTTGCTTCTGTTACTCCCACTGGCAGGACCAGGGCGGTCTTTTTTGGATGAGACAGGGTCTTGCTCAGTCACCCAGGCTGGAGTGCAGTGGCTGATCATGGCTCACTGCAGCCTTGAGCTACTGGGCTCAAGCTATCATCCTGGCCTGGCTTCTTGAGTAGCTGGGACTACAGGCGTGCACCACCATGCCCAGCTAATTTTAAAAATTATTTGTAGACATGGGATCTCGCCAGGTTGCCCAGGCTGGTCTTGAACACCTGGGCTCAAGTAATCCTCCCTCCTTGGTTTCACAAAGTGCTGGGATCACAGGTGTGAGCCACTGTGCCTGGCCCTTGATGTTTCAGTTCTTGATATTTGATCCTCAGAGTCAGAAAATCTAAAAAGAGGACTATCCCAGGTTGCCTTGGTTCACGGCAAATGGGACGTTAAGAGGGCAGAGAAAACAATATGACCAGAAACTCTTCTAATATTGGTCATTTAACGTGTAAGTATTGTTCTTTTTTAAACCTCCTTCATCTTTTTCTAGGGATTGCTGGACACAGTGGCTTGGTGTATCTGTGGGCTGTAGGCCACGGCCCTGGGTTGTGGTTTTAGGTCGCAGGTGCTCTTCCCGGCTGTCTCCTTGCTTCTTTCCCATTTCCTCTTCTTTGTTTCCAGCCATTTCTCCCTTTTGCTTAAGTTTGGTGCAGCAGGGTTTGGCTACTCTCAGATTCCTGCTTCCTCAGATGATGCAGTTGCCAGGCCCAGTGGGCTGACAGTGGGATCAGGATCTGGCTAGGTTTACTCTCACTGTGGCAGAGGAGGGGCAGGTGTGGGAGAGCATGTGTGACCCCAGGCCAGGTGTAGGGAGCCCAGGCACAGTCACTTAGCCTTCAGGTCCTAGACTTTGTCTTCTCATGAGTGTGGCTGTGTGTGTATGGTGAGAACCAGGTTCTTCGTAGCCCAAGAAAATGTAGAGAAATGCACTGGGTATCTGACATAGCCTGGCAGCACGCCTCCCTCAAGTAGGTTAGTCTCAGGCGGTGAAGCATGTATGTCCAGCAAGAACTTCATATGTAGCATAAAGTCTCCGTTCTGTGAGGCACTGACAAATCACCACCGTCAGGAGGCTGAAGTAATTTCTGTCTAGGGAGGCAGGGAAGGCTTCCTGGAGACAGTAGCCAATAGGTGAAAGGGTAGATTGGAGACCTTCTTAATCATCACCGCCTCTTGGTTCGAGGGGTGCCAGGAAGCTGTGGAGGCTGAGAGGAGGGGGAACGCATCTTATGCTGCCAGAGAGTGGGACACCCTGAGGGTCAGGTCAAGGAGTTGTACCTTGTTGGGTGGAGAATTAGGGGCTCTTGAAGACTTTTGATGTGGTCAGGGGAGTGTATCATTTAGGAAGAGTGACCTAGTAAGGACGTGGGATAGAGGAGGACAGAGGTGGGAGGGAGTCCAGGTGGGAGTGAGTAGGCCCAGCAGGAGTGCGGGGCCTCGAGCCAGGATGGTGGCAGGGCTGTGAGGAGAGGCAGCCACCTGTGTGTCTGTAGAAGCAGGGGCAAGAGGGAAGAGGCCAGTGGCACGCTGCCATCACCCAGCGACTGGTGTAGATTGTGAGAGCCCATTCCCTGCTCTTAGGAGGGGCCGAGTTTTAGTTTTCTCTTATAAAATAAACTTGGTATTTGTTTACAAAACATTTGTAAAGCTAAATCAAGGTTTGATAAGGCTTCTAGTTTTATTTAAGAAGTAATGTTTAAATAAATGTCCAACTCGCTTTGCTCATTTAAGGACTTTCAGTACAAACTTCAACAACAGGATCAGGATTTAAACATTTCTGAGATGTTATTACCCCTCAGAATTTCCCAGAACGTGATCTGGTTTTGATTTTCAAGCTTGCTGACCTAGTAGGTTAACCCACAAGTTTTACTAAGGTACACCTCAGTCCATTTATATCGACTGCCCATGCCACGGTCAAAGAGATCATCGACTGATGTTTGGCACAACTTCCTCCCTCTTGGGTGGGCAAGCATTTGGAAGAGAAGGCTCCCGTGGGTGAGAGTGGGGCACCAAAGTCTTCCCTGTCCTGTCCCCTAGCTTGAGAAACGCTTCTCTAATGTGGACTTTGTGCCCTTAGCATCGTTACTGGCTTGAAGTTGACCATGTGGACATAATTTCTGGTTTAGCCTCACAAGTGAGCAGGGAGGGTTGAGAGATGTGCTGTGAGGAACATGTGGCCCCGGCTGGCCGTGGGCTCTGGGTCAGGGGGGCAGGGGACCATGGGCATACCTGACAGTGAGGAGGGGCCACACCTGCAGAAAGCATGCGGGACTCGGCCTCGAGAGTGTTCTGGGCCAGAGTGCGGCTCTGGGGTTTTCTAAGTACACCCACAGTGCCTGGGACCCTGCAGATTCCAGGGCACCGTCTGAGCCTGTGCCATCCAACGGAATGTTCTGCTAGTGAAGATTGAAGATTTACTCCAGGGACTTTAGGATTTATATACAAAAATAAAAATTATATACATATAATTTTTTTTTTTTTGAGATGGAGTTTTGCTCTTGTTGCCCAGGCTGGAGTGCAATGGTGTGATCTTGGCTCACCGCAACCTCCGCCTCCCGGGTTCAAGCAGTTCTCCTGTCTCAGCCTCTTGAGTAGCTGGGATTACAGGCACCCACCACCATGCCCGATTTTTGTATTTTTTAGTAGAGACGGCGTTTTTCCATGTTGGTCAGGCTGGTCTCAAACTCCTAACCTCAGGTGATCTTCCCGCCTCAGCCTTCCAAAGTGCTGGGATTACAGGCATGAGCCACCCCACCAGCCAGGATTTATTATATTTGAACCATCTCCCATTTTAATTTTGATGTTATGTAGCATTTGATGATAGTGAAAGTTAAATTGTTTTTCTTTCCATTTTTCTGTTTAAGTGAATGACCTGTATCTAGTTTATTCAGTAACTTCCTGCATATATATGCTTCTTTCTTTTGTAATGAATATGTTCTTAATTTAGTTGCTGTTATGTTTTGCTTTGCCCCAAAATTGAAATCTTAGTTTCCTTTTAGCTCGTTTTAGAATTGATGATGGGATGTGTCTTCCATAAATAAATCTCTTGTGTTTTGTTGTAGGCTTTGATGGATTCTAATCTTCCAAGGTTACAGCTCGAGCTCTATAAAGAAATTAAAAAGGTGGGCCCCGCTTTTCTTTTTTAAAAATGTCTTAAATTTTAAATTTTTATAGGTACACATATTTTGTAGGTACATGTGAGTGTGTATATTTATGAGGTATATGAGATATTTTGATACAGGTATATGATATATAATCACATCATGGAAAGTTGGCTATCCATCCCCTCAAGCATTTATCCTTTGTGTTACAAACAATCCAGTTGCACTCTTTTACTTATTTTATTTTATTTTATTTTATTTTATTTTATTTTATTTTAATTTTGAGACAGAGTCTTGTGTTTTCATCCAGGCTGGAGTGCAGTGGCACGATCTTGGCTTACTGCAGCCTCCGCCTTCCAGGTTCAAGCAAACTTTGGGCTGGTCTCAAACTCCTGACCTCAGGTGATCCGCCCGCCTCGGCCTCTCAAAGTGCTGGCATTACAGGTGTGAGCCACCGCACTGGGTCTGATTGTACATTTTAAAATAACTAAAATAGTCAGGGCCCGGTGGCTCATGCCTGTAATCCCAGCATTTTGGGAGGCTGAGGCTGGCGATCACCTGAGATAAGGAGCTCGAGACCAGCCTGGCCAACATGGAGAAACCCTATCTCTACTAAAAATACAAAGATTAGCCGGTCGTGGTGGCGGGCGCCTGTAATCCCAGCTACTCGGGAGGCTGAGGTGGGAGAATCACTTGAACCTGGGCGGTGGAGGTTGCATTGAGCCGTGATCACACCACTGCACTCCAGCCTGGGCAACAAAGTGAGACTTCGTCTCAAAAAATAAAAATAAAAATGAAATAAAATCAGTCCGGGTGTGGTGGCTCGTACCTGTAGTCCCAGCACTTCAGGAAGCTGAGGCAGGTGGATTGCTTGAGACCAGGAGTTTGAGACCAGCATGGGCACCATGGCAAAACGCTGTCTGTACAGAAATGAGCTAGGTGCGGTGGTGCACAACTATAGTCCCAGTTACTTGGGAGGTGGAGGTGGGAGGATAAATGGAGCCTGGAAGGTTGAATCTGCAGTGAGCTGAGATTGTGCCACTGCCCTTCAGCCTGGGCGAGCAAGTGAGACCCTGTCTCAAAAAAAAAAAAAATTATTGACTATATCTTATTGTCTATAATCCCTCCTCTGTGCTATCGAATACCAGGTTTTGGGCCCTTACTTCCATCACTGAACAAACTTTATTGAGCAGCATGTGTGGAATTTCATCTTTATTCAATAATTAACAGCTAGGAGGAAATGCTGTTTGCTAGACTATTGCTTTACTTTTCTTCAAAAGGTTACTCTTTATTAGATGAGATGGGAATTAAAAATGGTAACTTACTTTATGTCTTTATAATTGAAGCCCGCTAGATCTTAAAGTAGTTACCAGCTGTTTTATGCATTTAAATGGCTTTTTCTCTAAAAATAGAAAGTAACAATGAAAGAAAATGCTTCGTTTCTATGCAACCCTCTTGGTGACTAGTGTGTGTGACTCTTAATACGACACTCATTGCACCCCCTCAGAATGGTGCCCCTCGGAGTTTGCGTGCTGCCCTGTGGAGGTTTGCCGAGCTGGCTCACCTGGTTCGGCCTCAGAAATGCAGGTAAGTTGTACATTCTGGATGTTGATTTTTGTTGGGGGCCAGCTGCTACTGATCCTTTATGTCTCAGCTCAGATGTCATTTCAGAAATCTCTCTGCCCCCTCCAAATTGCGATTGACCTTGCCCTGTTTGTTTCCGTCATAGCACTAATCCATGTCAGAAAGTGTCACGTACAGTCTGTGTGCTTGTTCATTTTCTATCCCACCCTCCCCCAAGAGACTTACGGGATGTGTGCCCCAGGACAGCAGGGGTCTTACTGTCTTACGCTCTGTTGCAGCCTAAACATCAGTAACAGTGTCTGCACATAGTATTTGCTTAAATGATTCTTGCCAAATTGTTGAAGGTTGAGGTACCAGTTTCATTATTGCTGACTGTAGGAGTTATAGCAAAATATCCATTTGTCTATTACATGAGTTAAAAATATGGTTGTTTCACTATGAATAGTTTTGTCTAGTCAAAACAGTTGTGTCTTAACGGTTTGAGAAACAAAAGCAGGACCACTTTTCATCAGCTCCTTCCTCCTTAACCTGCAATATATGCTGATGCTGATGTCCCATAGACCCTCAGCTCCATCCTGAGTCACTGGGAACGTGGTCTAAACCCTCACTATTAGTATGAACTGAGTTTCAATAAGAATCTTATATGGATCGGGTGTAGTGGCTCATACCTGTAACCCCAGCACTTCAGGAGGCCAAGGCAGGTGAATGGCTTGATCCAGACTAGGCAATATGGTGAAACCCCGCCTCTACAAAAAATACAAAAATTAGCCGGGCATGGTGGTGCGTGCCTGTAGTCACAGCTACTGGAGAGGCTGAAGTGGGAGGATCACTTGAGCCTGGGAGGTGGAGGTCGTGTTGAGCCAAGATCGCATCACTGCACTCCAGCTTGGGCAACAGAGTGAGACCTGTCTCAAAAAAACAAACAAACAAACAAACAAAAAAGCTTATATGGGTGCAGAGGTATAATCACTAAGGAAATTTCTTTTTGTGTAGTCTTTTTTCTTTTACTGTCATTTCAAAAAATGTCTTATATTTCTGAAGTAACACATCCAGGTTCTCCACATAGCAGCCAAAGTGACCTTAAAGAACATAATTGGGTCTTGTCATTCCCTTATTTAAACTCTTGTGCCCGTTTCCCAGTGCTGTTTAGATTGATTCCAGACTGGTAACTGACTCTGTCACCTCAGACACTCTGCATTGACTCATTAGCCTGATCAGTTCTTCAGACAAGTCAGGTTTTTCTTCCTCCTGATGGTTTGTTTGTTTTGTTTATTCCCCTCAGTTCTCAGCAAAACAGTCATTTCCTTAGGGAGGTTTCCCTAGCCTCCCTGTCTTTCCCTGTCCCAGGAGCCTGGTGGTGTGGTCACTGCCCTCTGAGGCCCTGCTTGTTGCCAGGCTCTGCCACTAGAGGGCAGGGCTGCACCACTCCTGGCACCTCACACCTGGCCTGCCCTGTCACTGTGTGTGTTGGGTGAATTCCTGTGATCTGTGACTCACTGCTCTGTGTTCTACACATTCTGCTTTTCTTCTCCCCTCACAATACCATTTATAATTCTCCCTTTTCAGGAAAGCTTTATTTCCATTAAAAATTTTTTGTTTTTAAAATGGTATTTTCTTACACTATTATTTTCTAATTAAAAATGAGTATTTTGGCAGGGCACGGTGGCTCACGCCTGTAATCCCAGCACTTTGGGAGGCCGAGACAGGCGGATCACGAGGTCAGGAGATAGAGACCATCCTGGCTAACATGGTGAAACCCCGTCTCTACCAAAAAGACAAAAAAAAATTAGGCGAGTGTGGTGGCGGGCGCCTGTAGTCCCAGCTACACGGGAGGCTGAAGCAGGAGAATGGTGTGAACCCGGGAGGCGGAGCTTGCAGTGAGCCGAGATCGCGCCACTGCACTCCAGCCTGGGTGACAGAGCGAGACTCCGTCTCAAAAAATAAATAAATAAATAAATAAAAAGTAAAAAAAGAAGAGTATTTTAAGAAGTATTACGATTTACTGCAAATAATTTTTAAACCCAGCCTTTTAGATCCTCTGTGATCATAAGAGAAATGAAGGATGTCTCCTGACACTTGAGCTTCATCCACATTTCATTCTCCCGTTCTTTCAGCTGAGCTTTGCCCATCCCCATTAGGGACCGTTTGGCATATGAAACTGGCTTTTCCCTAACAGGGAATGAATTGCTTCTATTTCTTCTGAAGGAGAGCTGGAGGAATGACTTGCGTTCTTTTGCATACACAGGCCTTACCTGGTGAACCTTCTACCGTGCCTAAGTCGAACAAGCAAGAGACCCGAGGAATCAGTCCAGGAGACCTTGGCTGCAGCTGTTCCCAAAATTATGGCTTCTTTCGGCAATTTTGCAAATGACAATGAAATTAAGGTACGATTATTGCCTCAGATCACAAACATGTGAGTGACGCGGTGAGTGAGTCTGTGGAGGGTTACAGCTTCTGAGCAGGGAGTCGTGTGGGAGTGCTTCTTAGAGTATGTTGTATGTCGTAATTTAGACTACCGTCATTTGTGTTATTTTTGAGGCACCTAAAGACTTCTTTCCACTTCTGATTTCTTACTGTGGGGTGAAGAGTTGAATTGGGAGATGGTTTATAGATGCAAATTCAGAAGGCATATTTCCAGAGCCAGATTGGTTTTCAGTGTACTAGAGTGACTGTTTAACCTAGCTGTGGAAAGATGGCTGTGCCAGGACTGCAGGTAGGAGAAAGCTCACCGATGAGGCCTTGTGGGTCTGAACATCCTGCAGCTCTCAGGGCCTGTTGGCTCCCTGTTGTGTATTCCAACAAACCACCTTCAAACCCACTTTAGTGTTTGTTTATAATGTCCAGAAATAGTGACCCTGTCACATGCTCTACAGATTACAGGATTCCTAGCCTCTTCCTTTGTGGTGGGGCAGTCCTGGGTTTGAGCCCAAGTGGCCCTCTTGAAAGGTGATGATACACAGTGGGTAGAGTGGAATCAGATGGACTCGGATTAGAATTCTGTCCACTTTACTGGTTCTTTTCCTCTAGGCAAACTATGCAACAGCTCTAAGCTATTTCCTTCGTATTCTGAAAAATAAGCCTTAATGGGACCCATATTGGGCAATTCTGAGAGTGAAATAAATGAATATGTGTTAGAGTGTAGCATAGTCGCCCACAGGAAGGGCTTAGATGTTAGCTGCTACTGCTCTTATTAGCTGAATGACTTGGAATAAACTGTTAGCCTCTGTCATGTTTTTTTCTCTGAACTTTGAAGTTTTCTTGTTAATACTAAGGAGATATTCAAACTAGTCATGGGGTTTTGGAATGACGAAGGGAGATCATAAATCTAAAGAATTTACTGTGGTAATTCATCATGCTCAGTAAATGGTAGCTGCTGCTTGCCGTTATTTTTATTACCATCTCTTTGGAGTGGGAGTAGGTCTCCTTTGTGGTCAGAGGCTGTGAGAGCTCCGCAGCGCCAGTCTGCCCGTCCGTACACTGGGCTCTGATGAAGGCAGTTCCCTCTGTGATATCTCTGGCTGTCAGAGCTCAGATGATAGATGGTGTTTTTGTACTCTCAGTTCTCATCATTTTCGTGATTTCGATCACCATTTGAGTATGATGATGCTAACACTTTGTTGAACATAGAGTCCATTAATTACTTCCTTCCTGAACCTTAGGTATTTAAAAAAATCTATTCTGCTACCTCTCTGCTCATTTATGATTATTCAGATTTATTATCAAGAGCCTGGTATAGTGGCTTGTGCCTATAATTGTAGCTACATGGGAAGCTGAGGTAGGAGGATTGCTGGAGGCCAGGAGTTTGAGACCAGCCTGGGTAACATGGTGAGACCCTATCGCTAAAAAATGAAAAAAGTTAGCTGGGCATGATGGCACGTGCCTGTGGTCCTAGCTACTCAGGAGACTGAGGCAGGAGGATTGCTTGAGCCCAGGAGTTGGAGTTCGAGGCTATACTGAGCTGTGATTGTGCCACCACACTCTGGGATGGGTGGCAAAAGAAGATGCCATTTCTTAAAAACAAAACAAAACAAAAAAAGGTATTATCAGTGAAATTCAATAGTACCAACAGGATTATAAACAAAGATAGTTCCCTTCCTACTTTTTCTCTTAATCCTTGTGTCTCAGAGGCAAACATAACTCTTAGTGTTTCTTCCAATATTTACTTCCACATTTCTTTCTTTCTCTTTCTCTCTCTCTCTCTTTCTTTCTTTCTTTCTTTCTTTCTTTCTTCCTTTCTTCCTTTCTTCCTTTCTTCCTTTCTCCCCTTTCTCCCCTTTCTCCCCTTTCTCCCCTTTCTCCCCTTTCTCCCCTTTCTCCCCTTTCCTTCCCTTTCCTTCCCTTCCTTCCCTTCCTTCCCTTCCTTCCCTTCCTTCCCTTCTTTCCTTCTTTCCTTTCAATGGAGTTTTGCTCTTCTTGCCCAGGCTGGAGTGCAATGACGTGATCTTGGCTCACCACAACCTCCGCCTCCCGGGTTCAAGCGATTCTCCTGCCTCAACCTCCTGAGTAGCTGGGATTACAGACACGCACCACCACGCTCGGCTAATTTTGTATTTTTAGTAGAGACGGGGTTTCTCCAGATTGGTGAGGCTGGTCTCGAACTCCTGACCTCAGGTTATCCACCCACGTCAGCCTCCCAAAGTGCTGGGATTACAGGCATAAGCCACTGCACCCAGCAACTTCCACATTTCTAAGTAACATGCTTCTACTGCCTTTTTTTTTTTTTTTTCAATTTTAGACATTTTTTACTTTCACACTATAATTCTATCAGAATTCAGTGTGTACATTATTATACCTAAGTAAATAGTCATGGTTGGTTGTGTATTATATTTCTTTGTATTTCTTATTTGATGACAGCTGTGTTTTTTTGCTCTGGGTTGAAACTGTGGAGAGAGGACATGGGGAGGGGAAGGAAGACAGACGAAGTTGGTGACTGTACCTTCCTGGCCATAGCTGGATTCTCAGCACCCTGGGATCTGCTGATCACCTGCTCATAGGCCAAGCCCCTAGTGAAGTTCTAGGTGACCCAGTGCTGGGGATTGGGGGGGTCACCTGCAAGGTCTAGTCATGGAGGTGGGGGCTACAGTGTTGGCTTGTGCTGGGGCCAGCATCCTTAGGAATGCATCTTGGAGGAGGAGGAGACAGCCACCCACTTCTTGACTGGGGCCTTCAGCAGTGCCACCTTCTTGGGCAGACTGGTGCTGGCTTTCATCACCACATTGTGTTCAATCTTCTTCCAGATCCTGACTTCTAGGTTCACCTTTCCTTAGACCCTGGTTCCTTTCAGAGGCTGTCGCTGCTGCCTTGCCCTTTGCTGGCTTGTGCCTTGATTATATGTCTTTTTGTTTTCCTGGAGTTAATCCTCACATCTGTTTTCCTGGAGTGAATCGTTACCTTTGTATCACTTGCTTATTATTCTTTGACCTTTTTGTCTTCTCACACCTTCCAACTTCTTTGTAAAATATGTTTAGTACAATTTTTCATGACAGATAATTTACCAAATCAGTTTTTCCCCAGTACAGTCATCCATCTTGAGTTATCCAGCTCTCTGCCCCAGTCTGGTCAGATTGCTCTTCAGGTCTGTTGTACACTTGTATCCTAGGACTTCTCTTTGCCATCAGCCTGGAATTTCCTTTGCAGTTCTCCTGTTGGATGCCCAGTTCCTAGATGCCATATGTTTATCTTTCTATCCTCTAGTAGCTTTCTGAGAGAAGATGAATGGGAGGTAAATTGTATGAAGTTTTGCATTCATAAAAATGCCATTTTTTCTCACGTACACTTGGCTGGGTATAGTGTTCTGGGGTAGAAATCATTTTCCCTCAGAAATGTGAAGTCTTTGCCCCGTTGTCTTAAAGTCTCCAACATAACCCAATTCCTTAACCCATGAATGTGCTTTTCTCTGGAAGCTTTCCATTTTTGGGGAGGTGAAGTGCTAGGTACTTAGTAGGCCTTTTATTTTTTATTTTTATTTTTTTTTTGAGACGGAGTCTCACTTTGTCACCCAGGCTGGAGTGCAGTGGCGCGATCTCGGCTCACTACAAGCTCTGCCTCCCAGGTTCACGCCATTCTCCTGCCTCAGCCTCCGAGTAGCTGGGACTACAGGCGCACACCACCATGCCCGGCTAATTTTTTTTTTTGTATTTTTAGTAGAGACGGGGTTTCACCGTGTTAGCCAGGATGGTCTCGATCTCCTGACCTTGTAATCCGCCCGCCTCGGCCTCCCAAAGTGCTGGGATTACAGGCGTGAGCCACCGCGCCCGACCAGTAGGCCTTTTAATTTGGAAACTTATATCACTTCAGTTCTGGGAAAATTTTCTTACATTTCTCTGATAAATTCTTGCCTTTTATTTTCTGTGTTCTCTCCTTCTGAAATTAGTTAGTTGGATGTTGGTCCTCCTGGGTTGACTCACATCTTACCTTTTTCTTTTTCTGGTACTTTTTAGATATCCATCTCAAACTCTTCTATTCAGTGTTATGTTTTTAACTTCTTTCTTTTCTTTGTCTCTTGATGGGGTCTTGCTTTGTTGCCCAGGTTGAGGTGCAGTGGTGCAATCATAGCTCACTGCAGCCTCCAACTCCTGGACTCAAGCAGCCGTTCTGCCTCAGCCTCCCAAGTAGTTGGGACTACAGGTATGCACCACCACGTCCAGCTATTTTCTTTACTTTCTTTCTTTTTTTTTTTTTTTTTGAGATGGAGTGCCGCTCTGTTGCCCAGGCTGGAGTGCAGTGATACGATTTTGGCTCACTTAAGCCTCTGCCTCCCAGGTTCAAGCAATTCTCCTGCCTCAGCCTCCCAAGTAGCTGGGATTACAGGTGTGCACCACCACGCCCGGCTAATTTTTGTATTTTTAGTAGAGACGGGGTTTCGCCATGTTGGCCAGGCTGTTCTCAAACACCTGACCTCAGGCGATCCACCTGCCTCAGCCTCCCACAGTTCTGGGATTACAGGCGTGAGCCCATCATTAGATCTTTAAATACCAGTATCTGTAAGTCTTTTCCTCTTGAGTCAGCCAGTATCCCTGGAAGGAAATTCCTCATTTTCCTGCTTGGAGACTATAAGCTTGGCTGTGTTTATCCTGCAACCAGGGACTGGAAGGGGACTGACACTGTTGCTGGTCAGGGCGCCCTCTTTTTGTTTTCTGTATGCATCTCACATCTGTCCTCAGTTATGTAAACACCTCTTGAGATTATCCCTCTCAGTCTTTGCTGGAGGTGGGGAAGGGGCTGCTTCCTGGGCTGCCTTGGATTGGAGGGGAGACCTCAGGCGAGTGGGTGGGAATTTGCCCAAGGAGCCATGAGACAAGCCACTGTTTCACCCTGTCCGTCCCTCCACTTTCAGATGTATGTAGTGCCTCCAAAGCCTGAGCGCTTCTTGGAGTTCTGTGGCTTGAATAAGCTTGCTTTTCACTGGTATCCCTCATACCTTCTCCCCCATCCCCAGCAAAGCTTGCATTTGAACTTCTTCCCATGGGCTAACAAATCAGTCAGTTATGTAGCCCTTGTTACTTTTTAGCTTCCGAAGTTTTGTTGACACCCGTAGTCTGCTAGTGTCCCTGTTCTGTTCTTTCTGTCCGTGTACATTTATGCTTTATACAACTTCTTTACATGATTTTTGTGGGGTTTCTGGGTAGCAGAGCTTCACATGTTCAATCCAGCATGTTGGATTAGAAGTCTCCCACCCTCTGGTGTATTCTCATTCTCAGAATTACCTGCCAAACACCGATACTCCCTTGTTTTTCCTTTTCTTGACAGGAAATGTACATACCAGACAGGACAGAAATCATTAGTGTATCCCTTGGTGAATAACCACAAAGTGAACTTACCCTCGTAACCACCACCCAGGTCAAGACAGAGTATTACCAGCGCTCAGAAGCCTCACCCCCATCCCCCTATCACTGCTTCTTCCTTCCTCCCCAAGGTCATGACTGTCCTGGCTTCTAATGCCAGAGTCTGTTTTTAAATTCTGTGTACATAGACCATATGGTATGTATTCTTTTTGTCTGGTTTCTTTTGCTCGACAGTAATTTCTTAAGAGTCTTCTATATTATCGTGTGTATTAGTAGTTCCTGTAGTTTTAGGAGCTTCATAGCATTCCATTGTAGGTGTATACCGCAGTTTATTCATTGTATTATCACTGGGTTGTTTCTAGTTCTTGGCTATTGCGAGCAATGCTGCTGTGACCACTCTTAGGTGTTTTTTTTGGAGCACATGTGCAGGTTTCCATCATGCACAGCTAGAGGTGGAGTTGTTGGGTGATAGGGTGTGTGCATGTCAGCTGCAGCAGAAACTGCCAAATAACTTTCCTGAGTGCTTGTACCAGCTCACCCGTTGGTTGCTGTGTGTGGGGACTCCAGGAGCTCTGGTCCTCGCTAGCACTTGGAATTGCTGATGCTTTTACTTTTAGCCTTCCTGATGGGTATTTTCTGGAATCACATTATGATTTTAATTTCCGTTCCTTAAAGTACTCTTGGCTCTGAAGTTTAATGATTAATGCATCTCTTCCTTTTTGAAGTACTCTGAAAGGTATGTTGTGCATGTGTTGAAAACTGGAGCTATCTAGTCTAAAATACAGTGTACCTCCTCCCTGTTTGAAGAGTTGTAGCATGGCCTCGGGGCCTCCTGTTAGGTGCCTTGGAGAAGGGATTCTTGGGATTGTAGAGATTAGACCTGAGGAGGCCCCTTGGAGCTCTCAGACTAAATTTTATTCTGTATTATTCCAAACTATTTAAGCTCACCGTGTGCTGACTCATCATAATAATGAGTAGCTCTCATTGTGCTTGTATATTTGGACCAATAGAATGAA